TGTCAGTTATTCTATTAAAGACTTGTTGCTCTGCTCCACATTTCCAATCAAATTTAAAGAAAGGTAGGGGTTAATAGTTCCCAAACAGAGTTTTCTTCTGGGACTGTACGAACTTTTGCAGAACCAACATAGGTGTAGGTTATACTACACCCTCACCCTAAAGAATGCTGTGACACATCACGTAAAAATAAGTGGGGCATACATTAGGGAAGTTTCACTCCTCAGAATTTGAGATACTCGGTCTGCCTAATTAAAGCCGGTCAGCACCAGCAGAAACAAATTTATTTTACCAAAAGATGCCTAATTCGATTTACATGAGCCTGGGGAAGGACAGTGACCTTACTTGACTTGTTTCCTAACCAGATGCTCCTGCCAGCGTTTGTGTTCATTGGGCTGGAAGAGGAAGACTGCTGTGGCTGCTGTGGCCATGAAAACTGTGGCAAGAGATGCGCGGTAGGTCCTCCTGCCCTTGTGGTGGAAGTGATGTCTAAGGCACAGCGAGACGCTCTGGGGCTCACTTTCTGTTTCCTCCCTTTTAGATGCTCTCTTCTATACTGGTGGCTCTCATCGGACTCGCAGGATCTGGCTACTGCGTCATTGTGGCAGCCCTGGGCTTGGTGGAGGGACCACTATGTCTGGATTCCTCTGGAATGTGGAACTACACCTTTGCCAGCACCGAGGGACAGTACGTAATGGTTCCCTACCTGGTCACACGTTCTTATGCACCACATGTGTGGAGTGGTAATTCCCTTAAGCCAAATAGGCATCCGATTATTCATTCATCCGCCCATAAAGCCTGTGTTTATTCTCACTGACTCAGGTTTGCTTTAGGCAATAGATCTCCAAAGGTTGGTGGCCACTCATCGATGTGGACAAATTCTAAGTGCTTTTGAATAGCTTTACTAATCCAGTCCTCATAATAACCCCATGGAGTGACTTCCACTATGACTACTACTTTACAGATGAGGAAATAAAGGCACAGAGAGATGAAGTAACTTATCCAAGGTCATGCATTTTGCTAGGAAGTGGCAGTTAGGATTTTAACCCAAGCAGTTGGGCTGCAGAGTTTGTGATCATATAGTGTACATGTTATACCAGAATGATTGACCGATTACAGGTAATGCATTTTACTATTTTACAAAAAAGTATTATAGAATCCTTATATATTAAGAAGAAGAACAGCAACTATGTGAATTTAACCAAAGTCCAGGGTGAACTGTACACCAAATGCATGCTTACACACACACACACACACACACACGCTCACTCCTGTATAAAGTTATCAAGCTATATCTAAGGTCTTCTTCATGACTTTAATATCGGGATAATTGGACAGGTTCCGCTGTTTTATTTAGATACTGATTTCTCATCAATTATCAATAAAAGAACAGAAACAGAAAAGCAGATAGAAGCTGATACGCACAGAAACGAATGAATGAATGATGTGCTTCTTTGAGCAGGAGTTGATTCTCAGTTTATCTTTGTCCTATTCGGCTTTCTAAAGTCGAATTTTAAAAGGTTTAGTTTTGATATTCATGATTAAAAGTAAAATTAAGAATGAATTTGAATTGCTCTTATTTGTCCCCATGAAGTGTAGAGTGAAGTTACATGAATCTCATTAATGTACCATATTCACGAGATCATGAACTTGAATTAAATAGACTTCGATTCAATCTCAGCTCTACACTTACTGAGTACAGGGAAAAAAGGAATGGACCTTTCTGCATCTCAGTTACTTCACCTGTAAAATAAAACCAATGGTAAATATCCTGAGAATTAATGAGATGATATATAAAATGTCCCCTACAGAGGCTGACATATTGAGAGTACTGCCCCTGGTAGATGGTAACATTATCTACTAGCTTATAGTGACTACTACTCCATGGCAGCCTTTGAAGGAAAATTGATACTTAGAAGAGTTTGAAATTTTGGTGTCAAAATTGTTATCAATTGTGATTCATCTTTGTTCAAAATATACTGAATGTACCAGTAGAAAACACACAAACATACAAAACTATTGCATGAACTGACCCCTAGAGAAAGTCATGAGTTATGCAGCTGGGATGCATGGGTTATGAGGTGGAAATATCACTAAATGTTTTTAAATAGCTGTTTGATTGTTTGCCCCTCCCATCGTCTATCTCAGCTTCTGCAAGAAACTTTCCTTCTGTGTCATTTTAGCTTGTCCAGGAATAACTAGTTGTCACAAGCCTCTGGTTAGTTACCCAGTTGCTAACTGGGCCGGATAATTTTTTTTTATGTTGTGACCTAAAAATACAGACTTTTGTTTCACTGACATGCAGAAAAACAGGACCAGAAAAACAGATTTTTTTGTTGTTGTTGCTTGGAACCTGCTAATTGAATGTCTGATTGGCTTCAACAAACCATTCCAAAGTTAGGGCTCTCTCATTTCAAGTTCTTTTGTTCTGCTGTGGCAGGAAAAAAGTGATAAGGAAAGAACTGTACCAGACCTTTCTTGGAATTAAGTCAGTCTTTGATTTTCCCACGTGATTAAATCCTATTTCATTAAGAATCCAAATACTCTATGATATAGCACAAAGCTGACATTCTAAGCGAGTAATCAGAGGTAGAACTTTTCAGACTGGAAGAATATCCAGGCATTTAAAAAATCTCCCAAGTCCCGTCGCTATGGTCAGATATGACCTCAGCACGGTTTGCTGGTGCTTCGCAAGGCGGCTTCAGGTTATTATTTATCATTCAATGGCTTTTAAAACGTGCTCAGTTTTTTTGTTTCACGGACATGCAGAAAGACAGGGCCAGAAAACAGATTTTTCTTTGTTGATCAACAATGTTCTAGCAGTTGGATGTACGATGATGAACAGAGCTGGTTGTTACCTTCGTGGAGCTCAGCTGCTGACAAGGTACAGAAGCAGGCGTTCTTCCCAGGCTAGGTTAGGTGCCTGTCCTCGGTGGCTTTGTCGTACTTTGTTTAACCCGTCAGGGTACCTGTTGAATTCAGATTGCCTATTACTTGTCTCTTCCCTAAGATGCTACGCTCTTCCAGGAGAGAACCCATGCTTTGTGCGCCATCCACCCCCAGCTCTGAGGTCTGGCTGAGCGTCCTCCTCAGGCTGAGTGTTTAATCATCTTTATTGAAGCAGTGAATACAATGTTCTATGTGCTACCACAGATGCATGAGCACGGCATCACAAAAGTAAAGCAGTATCACATGAGTTGAATTCAATCACTGTGCTTCATGTTGCAAATTAACTTACTCCTTAAACCCAAGAAAAAACTTTGTTCAAAAGGTCTCAGTGGAAAAACTCTAGCGTATCAACTCTCCAAACTTGCCAGAATTTGGATAATTTCCAAAAAGAACAAATTGAATTTTAATGAAATAATCTAAATTAATATTTTACAGTTCAAAAAAACCCTAACATTAAATAGATTATATTTTCTAAATAAATATTCACTCGATCTTGGTTACAAAGTCTTCTCTTTTACACAGATTATAATTAAGCGATAATTGAATTGGAAAATAGAGTAAAACCATCACCTACCATTCCATGAGCTTGAACACATGAATTGGTAGTTCGTAAGTGTAACGAGTGGGTTTTCACACTCCTGTCTGAGATGTGCCTCCCTCAAACCTCATTAAGACCTTGGCACATCACCCATCTCATGTCAGCTTAGAGGGAAAATAAGTGTTCTTTTCTCCACATTTGCTCTGACTTCTCATCCATCTACATCCAAACACATCCATGAGCTTTAAACATAACATATGTACTGCCATATTTTTATTGCTGTTTCTAAGAATTCACATGTCTACAAAGTGAGGATTTCAAACCATGGAATTCCAGATTAGAAGTCAAAAGTTACAACTTGTAATTGTATGTTTATTGTTACCAGGGGATCTGGGCCAAATTCCTCTTCATTTGTGAAACGCCATGCCTTGGAAGAATCTTATATAGGATATTGAATTAAACTTTTTTAAAATTTCTGAATGAAAAACCACCATGCCAAAAAAAAAAAAAAAAAAAAAAAGCTTCAGCGATATCACCTTTGGTGTGATCGTGTGTCAGAAGAGTCCCTTTTTATTCCACAGGTACCTTGTGAACACTTCCACCTGGTCGCAGTGCGTGGAGCCCAAGCACGTGGTGGAATGGAACGTATCCCTGTTTTCTATTCTCTTGGCGCTCGGTGGAATTGAATTCATCCTGTGCCTCATTCAAGTTATAAATGGACTACTCGGGGGCACATGTGGCTATTGCGGCTCTCGCCGGCAGGTAAGAATCTGGGAGGAAATGTCCTTTCTTGGCCCTGGTGGATTCCATCACCAGGAAGTACCGTTGTTTTCATCATAGAGAAAAAGGCGAAACCCAACCCGCTCCCCCTAGTGGTGTTGATTCTGACCTCGCGTTTGCGGCCGCAGCGCCTCTGCAGCACTCAGTGTCACGGTCACCGAGCAAACACGCTGCCCGCAGACATGGTGCTCCCTTCAGGATCGAACCCACCACCCTCTTCACACGGCCGTGACCGGCGGGGACACAAAGGACATGTCCCCTCCTTTTTTGCTCTTATGTTCCTAACCAGTGCACACGAGTACCAGCCAGCACTCATTGCATCAGGCGCTGTGCTAAACCTGTTTCTCGGATGAGACCGTGACTCAGAGATTAAGCCATGTGCGTTAAATCACTTGGTCAGGAAGTGACAGGCTTCAGCCTTGGGTCAGTGTACATGAGGGCACCTGCTTTGAATTTCTGTGCCGGACTTGCTGCTCTCTTGAATTTTCCACAATTCCTTCCTAACAAGGAATCACAAAAATGCCTAACCAGCTAAAGCAGGGGGAGTCACTAGTAGCCTTTGAATAGCAGTTTAGGAAAAGCCTTTCACTGTGAAAGAAAACCAGGAAGCACTTGTTTCCTGGGGATATGAGTTAGGAGAGAAATATGGATCCGTTTGCTGCGGGGAAAGTTCTGACTTCTCTATCCTCCTAAAAGATAGAGATTATTGAACGGTTGGAAGTCCAGCTTCGGTTATATTTGGGAGAGTGGTGTTTTATGTCTTGTTCTGTGAAACAGGATTAGGTAAATAGAAACTTATTTGATTTGTATTTTCCAAACCATTTATTATTCTTCTGGTTCCAAGTCTCTAAACTTTCTTTTAAAACAAGACTGCTCCTCCCTCCCCCCAAAAAATTTAATGAAAAGTGAAAGTCCATTTCTACCCTGAAAAACTTTGCTGTAAATCAATGGAAACTTTCTATAATTTTTAAGGGGAAGTTAATGTTAAAATCAGGTTTTCCTTATGGGTTAAGTACAGCAAGATTGTTAATTTCTCTGGAATCCTGCCAAACTTCCAAGAAAACAGTAGACTGGGAAGTGTTCAATATGGAGTGGTTTTCAGGCAGTATGGTTGAGGAGGGAGGGGCTGAGAAAAATCCTCTCAGGGTTACTGTAAAACCACTCATCTTTAGTGCTGAATTTCCTACAAGGCAGAGCTCAAACTAAGTGAGTTCTCACTGGCCTTGTCAGTGTCACTACATTTTTGGGAACAGGCATAAAATGTCAATACCCAAAATTACTGTAGTGATTTGACAGGGAGGGACGCTCTCCTCTGAGTTGGGGCAGCAAATGCTCTGGGTTTCCCATCTGAGTCACTGTAGGTTTGGCTGTTTCCCAGACACTGCAGGGAAGATCTATTACCTTTGTTGATGAGAGAAAAGACACTTTCAAAGGGCAGGGCTTTGAGTGTGGAAGAGTCCATAACTTGTAGCATTCAGTTTGAAAAGGTTACTCACATGGGGCCCACACTAGTATGAAACCGCCATGGTATTATCTTTTAAATCCCTAAGCTTAAAACCCCAAACGAACACACTCAGCGCAACCCAGCATTTGTGTCCTGCAGTTTCCAGGACTCTTTCTGCAGCTTTGACTCAGGAAGGACAATGGATCCTGTTTTATTTAGGAAACATTTTGTGAGCATCGTCTAAGCCCTAAGTTTGGTTGGTTAAACTCTGCCGAAGTTGAGTTCAGCCTGCTTTATTTATGTTTGCTTAAAACAGAAATTTAAAGGACTGAAACTGTGTTATGGATCCTGACTGTAACCTGTGTATTTCCTGTTTTGTTTTTTTTTTACAGCGATATGACTGTTAAAAGAACCACCTCAAGACAGAAGCACAACTTTCCCTCTATTTTGTTGTAATTTATATGTTTTCCTTGTATTGATATGTAAACCTTTGTACTAATGTATCATATTCCACATATTCTACTTTTATAAAAATGTATGAAGACTGGCATCTTCACGTGATGTCAGTGTTTGAACTTAGCAAATGAACTTTTTTAGGGAATGATTACCTCTCTGGGGGTAATTTATAGACTGAGCAACAGCCCTCAGCATATCTGAGATAGACTCAGCGATGCTTTGGATAAAAATATCATTCCAATTACGATTGTGTATATATGCATGTTTTTTTAAATGACAAATGTCCAGTTTCTTTTTTAAGACAAAGAAGGAGAAAATACAACAACCTGAAAAGATGTGTTTTTTCACTGTTTATATGGTGTTTCCCACTCAGATGCCTACAAATCCCCAGCCAGGGGCCTTTTGAACTACCCTGTGTTTTGAGAGAGGCAAATAGGACTAACGGAGAATGTTCCAATCGAAACGAATGAGTTAAAACATACAATGGCTGCCATTTGCTTTGAGTACTATCAGATCTTAAATTTTTCTAACATACGGGGAGCTTTTTGTTCTTAAAAGACAAGCACTATGGATCCTGTGATTGAAGAGAGAAAGGCCGGGATACTTGGATAAAGATGAGAGACGGGAAACGGAATAAAGCAGTTGATCAACATAATGGGGGGAGGGTGGGAGAGCCACAAGGAACCCCCCCATCTCACTTGTTTACAATAAAATATTCAGTAGCATTTTGTTGTTGTTTCCTTTCCTTACCCTTAGTTTAACACTCTTCCTTTTTTCTCCCTGTTTTCCCTGTCCGCAGGTTGTATAGCCCCCACAACCTGTTTTCTTTATTCCACTTTCTCTCCGTCATCCTCTCCCTACTCTTCCCACCCTTTGCTCTCTGTAAATTGCTGCTGCTGTGCAGTCCCTCCGGGTCGTCATGTGGGCAACTTTCCTTTCTGCTGGATGCACCTGACTCCTGGGGAGGTATCAGATGGTTCTCCCTGACAGTACAGAGTAAGGTTATGTGACGAGATCCCCTGACAGTGGGAATTGTTTGCAGAAATGTTCTGTGGCCCCAGCAACAGGCAGGAGGCTTAACAGAGAAGCGTAACTGGTTGTTAGACAGCAGAGCGCCTCCTGTGGGCAAGGTGCCCTGTGCTGGCTGCAGACTGAAGGTTCTAACCCCTCCAGGGTCCCTCTGGGTACCTATATAATTCTATGCAATTGTAAAGTCCATAGACTTACAAAGTAAGCCAATATATTAAAACATTTTATCAAAATATTTTTAAAAATTACAGTGTAGGCTGGGGCACAGTGGCCTTATGTCTTCTGTTTTCTGTAACTGAACACTCTGGGAGGCCAAGGCAAGGGGATTGTGTGAGCACAGGAGTTCGAGACAAGCCTGAGCAAGACTGAGACTCCATCTCTATTAAAAATAGAAAAATTAGCCAGCATTGGGGCAGCTGCCTGTAGTCCTGGCTGCTTGGGAGGCTGAGGCAGATTGCTTGAGCCCAGGAGATTGAGGTTGCTGTGAGCTATGCTACGATGGCACTCTACCCAGGGGCAACAGAGTGAGACTTCGTCTCAAAAAAAAAAGGAAGAAAAAGAAAATTATAGGATAGTTGTTTGACCACTGACTTCATCACTTCAATATCGATGGACAGGAAGACAGCAATCATGGGTATGCTAGCAGCCTTCTGATAAGTGGAACTAAGGACTACTATACTTTTGAAATATGATTTCAATTAAAATGATATTTTGATAGACCTGCAATAAATGTGATATGAAAATATATCTATATTTTTATTGTAGATAAATATATGATCAGGTTGTAATTAAAAGAAATACTAAATTTTGTCTAGACATTAGTAAGAATAATGACACTTTCTCATTCAAGTTTAATGCCCCACCCTCATGAATAACTATCCATGCATCTCTCAGTTCTTGAACACCATGTTAAGGACCTCTACAAGACGAGATGGAAAAAAGGCAGCCAATCAGCAGTCATAAGCACCATTTTTTCCCTAAATTTATCTCCAACAGAGATGGCAATAATAATTTAACCATTATGGCAATAATAGCAACCCTTGATTGAGTTCCTTCAACGTATTAGCTACTATAATTAATTTTACACATTGTTTTCCTGGAATCTCTCAATAACCCTGGAAGGCAGGACATATTTCCGTTTTCTAGAATCAAGGCTCAGGGAGGTTAAGTACTCTGCCCTAGGCCTCATCTTTAGCAATAAAAAAGCTGGTCGGTCTAACACAGAGGTTCTCAATCTGTGGGTCGCAACCCACAGGAACTGTATTAAAGGGTTGCAGCATTAGGAAGGTTCAGAACCCCTGGACAGGCGCACTCATGCCTTCCCTACTCCTCTCCTCTGCCTCCTCTGTTGCCCCCACTCAGGGACAGCGTCTTCTCACTGTCTGACATTATAGTTTTGACAGGCCTTGTGACCTCAGTCATCCCTATCTCAGAGCCTAAATCTAAGTAGCTCCAAGTCTTCTCTTGTTTGTAAATTCTTCAGAAGTAGCCATACTATTGCCCAGAGTAAATAGCCTGCCCAACTTACCTTACACCCTACCCTTGGCAAGTTGTGTTTATAGCCGGCTCTCTGGGTTTGTAATATTCTAGGCCTTTCTATTTGGCTGGAAACTCCCTCAGGCATTGTATAAAAACATCATTTTATAGCACCATAAAAGCAATAAAAATTACCAGACAATCTGAATCAATTCAATCATATGCCTAGTAGTGGTCTCTGAGTGTCAATTTACCATAGTTACCAGATTCACAAATAGCCATCTGCATAAAGGAAATCTCTTGAATTGAATTCTGAGAAAACTGATGGAACGTGTGAGATCCTTTTGATTACGTTTCCACTAAGTCTTACCCATGGCAGGGCTAGCACAGGATGCCTTTGATATAGCTCTTCAGAAAAGCAATTTGGGGATATGCATAAGGTGACCAGACGTCCCGCTTTTAAACAATTTGTCCAGTGTCCTGTGGTGTTTTTAAAAAGTCCCGATTTTTGGAAAGAATGTCCAACAAGTTAGGGAACGGCGGGAGAACAGGAAGGGAATATACAGTTTTTGGCTGCCATGTGGCTATTTTGCCAGGATATGAGTTTTAAATTATTTTTGTTAATTTTGTAATGTTAAACTTTAATAATAACAAATGATTGTTGAGAACTGATTATCGAGAACTGCTTATCAAAGTTCACATTGTTGATCAGTTGTTAGAATTGGACTACCATTGTTTGGACTTAAAGAACAATGGCATTTTTTGGTATTGGCAACCACGAAAACATTTTGTAACTGTCTCTCAGATGATACACATCGTACTGCGTGCTAGTGCTAGTTAAACAAGTGATGTCAACAAATCAGCTATTCAGATAATTTAGGTAAGTAATTTATTTATTTCATGAATTTGGCAGACAGTACTTGTATTATTTATATTTTATAGTGGCGGCAAAAAGTCTAGCGCCGGCCTTGAAAGTGACACGACTTACGAGGTCTCATTATTAAAAAAATATATTAATAAAGAAAAGGTTAAATCTTGGGCATCAGCAAAAATCACAATAGAGAACAAATGGTTAGAAATATTTCATCATTTTGAAACAAACCATGTTCCATACAATAATGCACTAAAAATACACACTGTCCTTACCAGGAACTAATGCTGCGACTGAACGCATTTTTCTACGGTAAATCAAGTGTGGACATCAGAAAAATCACAATTAAGTGTTGAGACTTTGAAAGCCATTTTGTGTGTGAAATAAATTTAACAAATTCTTGTGAAAAATTTCATGACCTTTTAAACAATGACAGCAATCTACTAAAAAAAATTCACTCAAATGAGAAATATGCCAAAGAATAAAATAATACTATACATATTTTTTAAATGTATTATATTTGTAAATTGTACTTATGTTGGAATTAAAAAAATATATTACAATACTATTTTTGGGTTCTATGAAAATTTTTGTTGCTCTATATAGACCAAATTTTTAATTAAGAACTCCTTTCCACTCCCATCAATGGTGTCCTGCTTTACCAATGTTAAAATCTGGTCACCTTAGATACGCACCAACAAACTATAAAGTCTACATGTCTTTTTTAACCTCATATTTTTATGTTTAGAAATTTATTTTAGGAGAATCATCAGAGATGCTCTCAATATTTCAGCTACCAAGGATAATTATGGGAGTATGGTCTGTAATTCCAAGAAAAATGACAAGAGTCTGAATGTCAGACAAGAAGGAATTTATTTGATAAAATGTAGTCACTATAATAAAACAATAAATGGTCATTTAATCAAGGTAAAAGATGAGAAAGAGAAAGTTTTGAAATATAGAAAAAAATAATTCTGTATTTTCTCTCTGTATATACACATATATTATAAACATATTTAAGTGTAATATTAGTAATATAAAATTAAAAGCTAATTTTAATCAGAGTATATAAGATTTTTGTCTTGATTTATTTTGCTCATCCATACTTTCTAAAGTTTCTTTAATAAACACATGTTACCTTTGGAAAGCAAACAAAAAAATAGGAAGAAAGATTCAGCTCTAAAATAATTCAGGGAACAGTTCATCATTTTTAAAGGAAAACTCCCCAAGTGTATGAGAAAACCATTGTTCTTGGGCTGGGAAGGAGGAATCATTCTATAGTAAACACTGGAAAATAATTCTTCCTGCAATTAGGTGGAGGGATGGGCCAGGTGAAGCAGGTAGTCACCACAGGCTGAAAATATTGTGGGGGAGCCATAATTCCTACTCTAGGTTCGGGAATTTTAAGCAAGCACTTTTTGCTTAGCCTAGCTACTAAGTAAGATTTTCATAAAGATCAACTGTGTATTTCTTTTCCATTTAAAAAATTAAATGACATACCTTTTCTTTGGGCATTGGCCTTTTATCAGGGTTTTGTGTCACACGGCCTACATTTTCCTTCTCTTTCTGAGCTGAGACAAAGGCTCACAAAGGCATGTATTTATTGGATTTGGCCCAGCCCAGGGCGTGGAAATGATTCAATGTGCTTTGACAAGCAGAAATTGAGTTATGCATCCTAGGCTGGTGTAAATTGTTCCTCCTTGTATTTTGACATTAAATATTTTTTGTACATGAGCCTTGGCTAATTTAGATACTTAATTAATGTTTAATTAATGAATTTAAGAAGACTACTAGGTTTTCTGAAACTAGATCTCATATAACTTCATGAAATACCTCTCTCCCTGTGTGTGTGTACACACACAGACGTGCACGCACACTTTCTTAATATACTGCAACTAAAAAGAACAAACTGCTCCCACATGGAACAATGCGGACGGATCTCACAAACAATGAGAACCAACACCATCTCTTTCACCTCTCTGTCTATAATTTTGAAAATATGATTCTGGAATTCTGGATGTAATCTGAACTAATGGAGCTAAATCCTTAAAACAGAAAAAGCGGCCCCTCTATGCAACATTTCACGCATGGGTTTTGTAGAGGAGCAGCATTACAGTTCCCCAGGAGGTGTCATTTCAAGATAGCTACATTCACTAGTTATGTTCTGCAACTAGAAGTCTGTGTCCAGCACTCCGCTTGCTACTGATTCTCACCACACCCACATCTCTCTGTGTTATACGTCCCTCCTTGATTTGTGTGCAGGGCTCTGGCCTAATTGCATGGCTACTCCTGTTGCAAACCATAACTGATGCCCACAAGGTTTGAAACCAAAACCCAAGTA